AGGAACACATCTGGTCTAGGATATTTCAATTTACTCATTCATTCACTCAATAAACCTAAATGTCAAATTTAAATAAGAACCTTCTGTCTATGATCAAAGCCTCTAAAGAAACACATTTCAATTCTCTTTGTAACTGAATGCAGCAGGTCAAAGAGAAGAGGCTTTCATCAAACAAGCACTTTATTTTATTCTCTCCAGGTGGGCTGGGGTGAATATCTTTTTCACACAGTCTGACAGCTTAGGTTCATGTCCCATCCCACTAGCCCCTTCCCATTTGAGGCATAGTTAGCAGCAAAGGGTAGTACAGGTGTCAACAGGGCTGCTAATGTTATGCAACAGTGCACACTCACCAACTACTAAATGAGCATCCCAGGTGCTTCCTGCACTGTGCTAAGGGCCAAAGAAATCACTGCTAGGTAATATAATAATGACAAGCTTTTTTTAAGTGCCCGCTATGTGTTAGATTCTGAACGTGATGCTTTATAATAATGCATTACCTCAATCCTCAACAAAGCCTGTGAAGAAGGTATTGACCACTTAATAAATAAAATGGAAGTTCAGAAAGGTGAAATAACTTAGCTAGGATTTTTTTCCTTCTCAACTAGCCTAACAGAGATCTACTCAGTCGGTATTTGAGCTCTGCTACTGAGCACTTTCCCATGCCCCCACTTTTAGATGCTCAATCTATATCATACTTTATTTTTCCTACTTGTTATGGTCTGCATACTCTGGCTGTTGGCTTAGTGGAGCACACAGATTAAAGTGCAATATGCTTTAGTACAGGATAGGCCCCACTTCCATTTTCTGGGACACTCCTATTCCTTCTTACAGATAGATTTCTACTGTGTGAACCCATGTCTGACATATCCAGTGAGGCATCCATCCATTCGCAGTGCCCCAATAGCACCTTGCCTCTATTGTCCTCTTTTCTCCCTCACTGTATTGTCATTATTTTTCTGTATGTGTCCCTAGTCCATTGAAATGTAAGCTTCCAAGAATATTACAAAATCTTATTCATTTCTGTATCTCTACTATCTAGCACAATGTCTGGTAGACATTAAGTACCCAATGAATGTCTGATGAATTAATGAATAAGTAAACCGAACTTTTCTGAAAACCTTAAAGAGCAAAACATTTTGAAAAGGTTATTTAAACTTAGTTCAACTGGTTTCTATACTAATGAAATTACTCCTTAAACTACCTTTACAGGTACCCTGTTAAAATGTGCATATAACCTAGACAGGAAAGGAAAGCACACTGAAACATTAATATCAACTGTCAGAGATTTGTTTAGTAGTTGAGCTGGCTCTTGTTTTGTTCTCGTGGAAAGCACTGATGGAGTAGGATGAAGAAAAAGCAAAAAATGTCTGAACTTTGTGTCACTGCCCAAGGAGGGTAGCTCCAACTGTAGCAAAGGATGGGAAAGGGGCCAACAGGAGGGACTTCAGGGGTGGAAGGACAGGTCTGGAAATGTCAAACAGATTTTTTTTGCTATGTAGAAAGTTTTGCAAGAACCAGCACTACTCAGAAGAACTGAATGGAACAGAAGACCTTGTCTTTATATGTAAGCAGTAAGGATTTCAGAAAATCATGTATAGTACAGGTGGAAAGGAAGTGTAGAGGACAATGGCATATTAGCACATTGTGGCCAGTGACTGGCCCATTTTCTCATCAGAACCTCAACTGTAACGTAATACCCTAAACTGTCAGACTGGGCAATACAGTATTGCAGTCTTTTACCAGCTTACAGTCTGTGGCAGGAACACATCTGGTCTAGGATATTTCAATTTACTCATTCATTCACTCAATAAACCTAAATGTCAAATTTAAATAAGAACCTTCTGTCTATGATCAAAGCCTCTAAAGAAACACATTTCAATTCTCTTTGTAACTGAATGCAGCAGGTCAAAGAGAAGAGGCTTTCATCAAACAAGCACTTTATTTTATTCTCTCCAGGTGGGCTGGGGTGAATATCTTTTTCACACAGTCTGACAGCTTAGGTTCATGTCCCATCCCACTAGCCCCTTCCCATTTGAGGCATAGTTAGCAGCAAAGGGTAGTACAGGTGTCAACAGGGCTGCTAATGTTATGCAACAGTGCACACTCACCAACTACTAAATGAGCATCCCAGGTGCTTCCTGCACTGTGCTAAGGGCCAAAGAAATCACTGCTAGGTAATATAATAATGACAAGCTTTTTTTAAGTGCCCGCTATGTGTTAGATTCTGAACGTGATGCTTTATAATAATGCATTACCTCAATCCTCAACAAAGCCTGTGAAGAAGGTATTGACCACTTAATAAATAAAATGGAAGTTCAGAAAGGTGAAATAACTTAGCTAGGATTTTTTTCCTTCTCAACTAGCCTAACAGAGATCTACTCAGTCGGTATTTGAGCTCTGCTACTGAGCACTTTCCCATGCCCCCACTTTTAGATGCTCAATCTATATCATACTTTATTTTTCCTACTTGTTATGGTCTGCATACTCTGGCTGTTGGCTTAGTGGAGCACACAGATTAATAAAGCCCACCACTATGCTCTAGTTCAGTTCAATCACTATTACCTGGTACTCTATGCTGTATTAGGCACATTGCCTGATGCTTGGAAAGCAAAGCAGCACCTCCATTAAAAGCTGTCCTGCTCCTACTCTAGGAAGCTAGATGGCAGAATGTGGAGACTCTTGGCAAACTCATTCATCACTGCTGACAAAAACAACTCAGAATATGGAATTTTTATAAAGGGAGTCCTCACACCACGTTTCCTAACCTGCTAACTCAAATACTGCCTCTCTGGAACTGTTGCTCCTGCCCATGTCACGCTCTTCCTGTTGCACTGGTCTTGCTGTCTGCCAGTTTGTCATCCTTTATGCTCTCACTGGCACAGCTGCCATACTTCCAAACCTCAACCCCCACCTTCCCTATTACAGGGAAAACAGAACCTATCACCCATACCACGGTAAGGGAAAACTGTATTTTATGTGAGGATATATGTAGAAGGACAATTTTGCAGAACTGACAGACAAGAGCACAGAGAAAGGCAGGACTGACTTTTCACACTGCCTGACTGCTGAAAGAGCAGTTCAGTCTTGCTGTAGGTGGCGTTTAAAGATTACTCATCCACAACTGTGACATGTATTCAGAATGAAAGTAATGTATTCACAGAGGCACTGTCCAACCAGAGACATCTGAATTGGATTTTCTTTTCCATAATCATTAAAAATTTAAGAAACTGCTGGCTTCCAAATACTCATATAAAAAATGAATACATAAAGAAGGAGAACTGAATTAAATTTGCTGACCTGTGAATCCTACAGGAAATGTTATGGATTCTCCCCACTCCAAATGTAATGTCACTCATTTAGGCAAAAACACTAAGTTTTTACATCCCCACTACAGTTTATCAGTTTTATAAATAACTTTTATGTAATTTTATAGGTAAGTAACTCAAAATCCTATGCATTTTTCTTGGACTCATTATTGAAAACCGAGAAAATTACTGAGTATTTCAAACATGTGAGAGAAAACAACTGAAAATGATGTACAATATATTGTGAGAACTTCAAATTAGTGACATTAAAGAGCAGTATTTTAGCATCTTTAAACAGCCAAAGCAATGTTTTCTGGAAAAGATAATGGATACCGTATTCAGAATTTCAAAATTAACACTGAAAGATCAAGCTAGCAAAGACCTTTACAGAGAATGATTTTCTGAAAAAGTTTCAGAAGCCCACCCCCCTTTCTTCTTGGAAATGCAACTTCCTATTAGGAGGCATTTGCTGTTATCACAGGCAAACTGTTCCTCTGGGGGTGAGTCCCAATCCCAGAGTACTGAGGTGGACTTTCCCATCTGTCTATCACTTTGCTCAGGCCGTTCTGCAGCAACAGGAATGGGGTATTGAAGGATCATGAAGAGTAACACAGGCAGCTTGGAGCAGCTGTAAATTTTTTCAATCTAAGGACGACTAAAAAACTTGACAGCAGCTAAGTGTTACTGGTTAGGTGGAGGGTAAACAGGCAACTAAACAGCTACCATGTGCAGAATGCCAGAGGCTGTGAAAGGTAAGACTTCTGGAAAGCATAGGGAAGGAGTGATGTCTTCTTCAAAAACTGGCAAATTCTAGAAGTCTGATCCCTTAAAAAAAACAACTTAATTTCCTAAACATAATAATTTCCTAAGGAAACATAATTTCCTTAATTTTAAAACATAATAAATTGATGATCAATAAGCTGACTGTCCCTATCTTCATGAAATAAAACTAGAAAACACTAATTTGGACAGCTATAAAAACAGAAACGTTATACATAGATAAACTACATGAAAAAAGTATAATGAACGTTGTTTTCTTACAAAGGGATAAGCGCTTTGGATTGGGAACGCGGTATGGTGATGGAATATTAACATAGATTAACAAGAAGGAATTCACTACTTTTCTTGGAGAAGACTTCCTAGAGGAGGTTAGATTCCAGGCTCTGGATGAATAGCAGCAGGAGAGAGTGTTCCAACCAACCACAGGAAAATAGCTCAGAGGGGGAGTGAACTGATTATATGAATGGGGCATTGAGTAAGGGAACCTGAGGGAAGAAAGGGGAACAGTCAAGGGGAATACGGGTGGCTCAGGATGCCCTAGTTAAGGTCTCAAACCTGGTGGAAGGCTAGGAGGTGGCAAAGGGAAGCAAAACGAAAAAGCATAGTGGTTTCTTCACTTATCTCGGGAGGCAAGTCAAGGAGTGGGGTCCGCACCACCTGGAAAAGCTGACAGACAGGCTTGCCCTGGGACTGAAAACTTTCCAGAGGAGAAGGCCCTTTCTGGAAAACGCAGCCCCGCAGCTCCCTGAACTGCTGGCTGGTACCATAGGGTAAGAACTGGACGCGCAAGGATGTCTAAGGCAGGTGTTTCTTGGGTGTTGGCAGGGACTACAGAGCGGAGGCTCAGCGGCCGGACTCAGCGGTAAGCAGACAGCGGCGGCGGCGGCAACTGCGCGTGCAAACCACAGGACTTACCTTACTGTCATCCATCTCGCAGACAGGCCGGCTGGCCGGGCGCTCCCGCCCGCTGCCCTGCCCCGGCTCAGCCGGCCTGACCCGGCCAGGCCCCCGCCCCGGGGGAAGAAGGGGATATGGTTCTGACTGCTGTCTCCTCTTGCCTAACAGTTGGCTTCCCTGATGCCACAGTCACAGGGGCCGGGGGCCAGGGACCAGTTCAGGAATGGCAGAGCGGACCCTGGAGGCGGCCAAGAACGCCGCCCTTCGCCGCCGCCGCCGCTGCCTCCCGCTCCATGACAGGCTCTGGGTGTGTTTACCCACGCCCAGGAGAGAGGCCCGACCGGAGGCGGGGGGAGTCCTGCGCGTGGAATGGCCCCTCCAGCCGCCGTAGCACTGCGACATTCTGGGAATTGTAGTTTTCCTTACCACAGTCTCTGCGCGGCTGATTAGAGAGAAGACTACAATGTCCACATAGCCTCGGTGGGGCGTCTGTTTCCCCTCAGGCCGGTAAGCTCTGCGGAGGTGGGGCCAGGCGGGAGGCCACACCGCCTTTCCCACAATGCGCTGCGTTTGCAGGTGTGGCCCCTGGGTTCCGGGGCCTGGGCCGGTGAAGAGAGACCTGGGGCCTGGCGAGGCAATCCTGAGAGACACGGAGGAAACCTTCAAGGTGTTCAGTTTAGTAAATTAGAGTGTGAAATGGTGCAGTAACAATATCAGACATAGTTCACCATATGGCTAACAATTCCACCAGAAATGGAAATGGAAACATAGGCCTGCAGGAAAACTTATGTGAGAATGTTCTGTCCTGGAAGAATTATTCATATAGTTGAAAAGCGGGAAAAACCCAAATGTCCATCAATGGATGAATGGATAGGCCAGTCGTTATATATATATATTATTCAACCATAAAAAGGAGTGAAATACTTGGGGAAATGCAAATTAAAACCATAATGAGATATCACCTCACGCCAGTTAGGATGGCCAACATAGAAAAGAATAGGGACAACAAATGCTGGTGAGGATGCAGAGAAAGAGGAATCCCCCTACAATGCTGGTGGTAATGTGAACTAGTTCAACCATTGTGGAAAGCAGTATGGAGGTTCCTCAAAAAACTCAAAATAGAAACTCATTTGACCCAGGAATTCCACTCCTAGGAATTTACCCTAAGAATGCAGTTTCACAGTCTCAAAAAGACATATGCACCCCTATGTTTATCGCCTCACTATTTACAACAGCCAAGAAATGGAAGCAACCTAAGTGTCCATCAGTAGATGAATGGATAAAGAAGATGTGGTACATATACACAATGGAGTATTATTCAGCCATAAGAAGAAAACAAATCCTACCATTTGCAGCAGCATGGTTGGAGCTGGAGGGTGTTGTGCTCAGTGAGGTGGGCTGGGCCGTGGGGGGGACAGGTGTTGAATAATTTCACTCATCTGTGGAGCATAAGAACAAAGCAAAAACTGAAGGAACAAAATAGCAGCAGACTCACAGAACCCAAGAATGGACTAACAGTTGCCAAAGGGAAAGTGACTGGTATGAGGGTGGGTGGGAAGGGAGGGAGGGAGAAGGGGAATAAGGGGCATATGATTAACACACATAATGTAGGTGGGGCACGGGGAAGGCAGTATAGCACAGAGAAGATAAGTAGTGACTCTCTAGCATCTTACTACACTGATGGACAGTGACTGTATGTGGTGGGGTCTTGATAATGGGGGAAATCTAGTAACCACAATGTTGCTCATGTAATTGTATATTAATGATACTAAAAAAAAAGGGGGGGGGAGTGAAGTACTGATACAAGCTACAATGTGGATGAGCCTTGAAAATATGCTAAGTGAAAGAAGCCAGGCACATATTGTAGATTCCAGGCACAAAAGGGCACATATTGTAAATTCCATTTATAAGGAAATGTCCACAATAAGTACCTTTAAAGAAATAAAAATGGACTAGGGTTGAGGAATAGCAGGGAGAGAGAGGAGGCTGGGAATGGAGAGTGATTGTTAATGAGTACCGGGGTTTCTTTTTGAGCTGTTGAAAATATTCTAAAATTGATTTGGTGATGGCTGTACAACTCTCTGAATATACTAAAAATCAGGAAGCCTACCTTTCATATGAATGAATTTTATGGCATGTGAATTATATCTCAGAAGAGCCATTAAAATATGAGTGTCTTTCTGCCCTCCTGATTTAATAGTCAGTGAGCTTGTTGTTTTTGCTTGTGTTAGGTCATTGAGAGCTTGACAAAGATTGTGTGTTCATTAATGTTATCCTCCTCTTGAAAGGCTCCTAAAACCCTTTGCTAAGCCCTTCCAAAATTCTGTTAAGGTATAGTTCCCAGATTTAGCAATACATATACAGGACACTCAAATTTTAATGTCAGGTAAGTACCTTTTTAGTGTAAGTATGTTCCAAACATTGGAGAGACACTGTGACTAAAACAGGTATTTGTTGTTTATCTGAAGATCAAATTTAACTGGGTGTCTTCTATTTTATCTGACAACTCCATATTGAGGCATTGTAATAATAGGTAAGTGGAGTCATCTCTCTCTCACCTATGTAACTAAAGCAGGTCAGTTCCTCCAAGTAAATGCTGCCTACCCAGTGTTACCAGACAAGGGTCCACTGCCTGATGCTCCATAAGCCAAACACTGGACACCACCTTTTGCAAAAGGAGAAAGCTTTATGGTGAGGGTGACCAGCAAGGAAACAGAAGGCAGGACTCAAATCTGTCTCCGTGAACTCAGAGGCAGTGCAGAATATATGCAGAAAGTTTATACATATTCAGAAGGGCTTATGCATATTTAGCAGGGGTTGGTGAAATTAACAGGAAATTAACAGAGTTGGGGCAGGACTTTTCTCCTGAGTAGCATGCACAGGGAACATGCTATCATGCTACTGCATACATTGTATGTTCTAAAAGTGTCAGGTAAACTCTACCCAGAGGAAGAGATTTTAGTATGGTAATGAGGAAAGGAGACTTGAGGTCTTCTGGAATTTTCTTGGCAGGTCTCCAAGCACAGTTTAACCTGGTTCCAGGCACAGTTGCAACTTTTCACAGCTTCCTAAATTCCTATTGGCTCTAAAACAAACTGGACACATTTTGTTACTATTGTTCTTTTTGGTGTCCTCAGCCTACGTCTTCCATTCAGATAAACCCTGTGGAATTCACATGGGTCGCTTAGAGGTCTGGCATACCAAGGTTTCAGCAGTTAGGCCCAGCTAGGAGTGCACAGCCCCCAGCTGCATCCCTTGCGGTCTGGGAGACAGCTAGCCACATGCTCTTTGACAATTAGGAAAGCAAAAGTCTGTGCTCTGCAGGGTCTTTTCCTTTTCCTCGCCTAATAGCCCTTTTTTTCAACACCTCCACAAGCTGCTTTTAGCTTCCTAGTCCTGTGCCTACATGGCTTCAGTTCTGCATCTCTAGCCTTGCCCTTGCTTCTGGTAAGCCACCTTGTTTGGGGTGGATCTGCCTTACCCCTGTGTTAGTCTCCTGCCACTCTCTCTTCCTGCATCCCAGCTGACAAAAGTGCTCCCTGCCCTCTGAAATGGCACTTACCTGCCGTGTCTGCACGGATGGCTATGCTTGGCTGATCACCAGCCCAATCACCAGCCTCTCAGGAAGCAGAACTAAGACCTTTTGAAACATGTAGTGAAAATCTAAAAACATTCAGGGAGGTATGTACACCAGATTCAGGGAAGTAATTTTCTCTAGGGAGGAATGGGAATGGGATGGGAAGGGTCTTGGGCTGTTAACTGTATATTTAACCTTTTTTTTTTAAAGGTATCATTGATAAACAATCTTATGAAGGTTTCACATGAGCAACATTGTGGTTACAATATCCACCCGTATTATCAAGTCCCCCCATACCCCATTGCAGTCACTGTCCATGAGTGTAATAAGATGCTGTAGAGTCATTACTTGTCTTCTTCGTGTTATACTGCTTCCCCTATGACCTACCTATATTATGTGTGCTAATCATAATGTCCCTTAGTCCCCTTCTCCATCCCTCTCAACCCACCCTCCCCAACCTCTTCCCTTTGCTAACCACTAGTCCCTTCTTGGAGTCTGTGAGTCTGCTGCTGTTTTGTTCCTTCAGTTTTGGTTTGTTGTTATACTCCACAAATGAGGGAAATCATTTGGTATTTGTCTATCTCCACCTGGCTTATTTCACGGAGCATAATACCCTCTAGCTCCATCCATGTTGTTGTAAATGGTAGGATTTGTTTACTTCTTATGGCTAAATAATATTCCATTGTGTATATGTACCACCTCTTCTTTATCCATTCATCTACTGATGGACATTTAGGTTGCTTCCATATCTTGGCTATTGTAAATAATGATGCGATAAACAGGGGTGCATATGTCTTTTTGAATCAGGGATCTTGTTTTCTTTGGGTAAATTCCTAGCAGTGGAATTCCTGGGTCAAATGGTATTTCTATTTTCAGTTTTTTGATGAACCTCCATATTGCTTTCCACAATAGTTGAACTAATTTACATTCCCAGCAGTGTAGGAGGGTTTCCCTTTCTCCACATCCTTGCCAGCATTTGTTGTTCCTTGTCTTTTAGATGTTGGCCATCCTAACTGGTGTGAGGTGATTATCTCATTGTGGTTTTAATTTTCATTTCCCTGATAATTAGCAACGTGGAGCATCTTTTCATGTGTCTGTTGGCCATCTGAGTTTCTTCTTTGGAGAAGCATCTGTTCATATCCTCCGCCCATTTTTTAATCTGGTTGTTTGCTTTTTGAGTGTTGAGAGGCATGTGTATATTTAACTTTTAAAGAGGTGAAGCAAATAGGTTAAATCTGGTGATGGAGTGTATTATTTTCTTTGTATTTCTGTACATTTAAAATATTACACAAAATTGGAATTTAAATAACTATAAGCACACTTATGCTAGAAAGCATGGAAATACTTTATTTTTAAAATTTAATTTAGAAAAATAAACACTAATTGCATCATAAAATAAGACTTTGCAAAGGGGAGAAAATCTTATGAAGAAGTATTATGTGGTCATAGACTAAGCTTTTGCTGAGAAGTACCCAGACTTAGTAACAAGGAGGTGAGGAAGAATAAAAAGGACTGTTGACTTCTATTAAGTATAAATCTTAAAGGACTTCATAATCCAGGAAGGAGACATTCACATACAGGAGACTATGAACAATTACTAAGCAAGGCATCTGGTGGAAAATAATACAGATCAAATTTATTAATCTATGTGCTAACTTGCTCAGAATGGGTAGGAAGAGCCAAGCATTAGACTGATTGCTGAGAAAGGAAAAGTGAACACAAACATATTTTCTTTTTAGAGGAGGGGCAGGAACTTTATAAGAA